GACTCCTATCCACACTCTCACCCCCTGACAGGCCCCCCGGGACTCCCACGCCTATCCAACCGATCCCTGTCCCCTGACTGCCCCCGGGATCTGCTGCCCCTTATCCAATCTACCCACTCCCTGCCCCCTTACCATGCCGCTCAGAGCACCAGGACTGGCAGCCGTAAGTAGTACACCATAAGTAGCACATTCCTATGGAGAGCAATTTAATACACTACACCGGCGGCTCTCGCAGCCGTGCTGCCTGGCAAGAGCTCGCAGCCCCGCCACTCAGAGCACTGATGGCACAGCGAACTAGCCTCCCCAGCCGGGAGCTCAAGGGCCAGGCAGGATGGTCCCGCGGGCGGGACGTGGTCCGCGGGCCATAGTTTGCCCACCTCTGTTCTAAGGGCTCAGATATGGCTTTCTGACAAGCGTCAAGTAAGGGTTTGCATGCAGTTCTATTCATTAAGATAGTAGCAGATCAGGTTACACTTTGGAAAATCTAGTTTTGTAAATGAAATTATTTTTCAAATTATGTACTGGGGTTAAATATCACCATGTATTTTTCTTTTCTTTCAGTGTCTAAACGTAATGCTGAAGAAATCTGGGTTACCAGGTTAGTTGTAAAAGGTAGTTTGTCTAATGTGTTCAGTGTTTTCCAGATTCCTTTTGCACACCTTACAAGCTTAAAAGGTAATTGTTTAAATTAAGCTCATTTGCATCATTGTGCGATGCAGTGAAAGAGAGAGGATTTATTGAGCCTAGAGAAAATGAATGAAGGTCTGGAATCTCAGCCCAATAAAGTTCATGCTTTATACCTTGCCAGTCTAAATTGGACAAAAACTGACCCTTGACTTCAGTGATCACAATAAATAAAAAGAGATCTTTAAATCACTTTGCCAAAGCAAAGCTGTAAAAGTGAAATTAATGGTAAAATTGCATCTGTGAGCATGTGCTTTGTACCATTCCATTATTAAAAGTGCTAAATGAAATGAGCATGCAGAAGCTATTTAGTGATTGACTGTCTATATTGGTGGTTTTGTCAGCACAGCATTTCTCATTGCTGCTGGTTAAAAAATGGAAATAGCTTGAAAAAAGGAGAGAAAAAGGAGCATGCCATCATTTCCTCTATCTTGAGCACTGAAATTAATATGTATTAAATACAACATTCTATGTTAGTGTAAAGTAAAGGTTGCAAATTTAAACAAGTCAGATAATAGGAAAGTTCATGTTCAAAAAACATTTTCATCTACATTCATTTACTTGTATCAGGATACATGTTAAGCAGCCAAGCTAAAAACTAAAACTTTTCTGTATGAGTGTGCGCCACCGAGTAGGTAAATTCATGTTTGAAAAACATTAACCTCATTAATTTCTGTAAATATAGATTTCACTGCCATGAAAGCAATAGTACTATGCTCCTTATGTGTTCTCATTTTATATCACCACCCCTGAAAAGCTGAATTAGGCCTTAATTTGAACTTCATGTGGAACTAGGTGCTCTCTTTCTAATAAAATTTGTGTTTCAAATCACTTAGATTCTTTTTTTCCCCACTTAAAAAGACTGTTGGACATGCTTTTTTCCTGTACTTTAAGAAGATAATTCTGTCTGGATTTAGGGATTTTAGTTTAGGAAGGTCATATTTTAGACCTTAAAATGCAAATATATATAAATATTTTTATAATATTTTCCTCAGAGGAAAAATTCAAGAACAAACATAACTGCTCTTCCATAATGCTTTGTACTCACTCTGCTCTTTCTATGGCAGTAATTAACATATTATAATCCCAGAACTAGTGCAAATCAGCCCTGAAATTTTGGAAGTAGTAAAAATACCCTTTTCTTACAGCAACAGTTGTGTTCATTTTTAAGAGGCCACCATCAGCTTAAATTGTACATCTGTTTGAAAATATACCTACAAGTAACACTTAACATTTTTATAACTGACAATTAATTTTTCTCAATTTTTTTCATTTTGTTTTCTTTGTATTTGACAGCATTTTTTGAAGCCGACAATTCACTTCCCCTCTATATCTTATTAGTTTCCTCTGGTTAGGGCAGGGGTGGCCAACTGGTGGCTCCAGAGCCGCATGCGGCTCTTCAAAAGAAAATCTGCAGTTCCTGCCAGGAGTCAACTCTGGGGAAAAAATGGTGGCTGCTCAGCATCCACTGGCAGCCCTATCAGTCCCCCGCCCCCCCCAGGAGCTGCCGGCGCCCCCCCATCAGCATCTGCCCCTCCTGCCTGCCATGATCAGCTGTTTCAGGGTGTTGTAGTTCTGGGAGGGAGGGGGAAGAGCGAGGACGCGGCACCCAGCCCCCCTCCCTTCCCCAGCACCTCCTGCCACGATCAGCTGTTTCAACCCGGTGCACAGCCTCTCCCCTCCCTTGCCTCCTCCTCCGTCCCCTTGCCTGCTGCCTGTGTTTCCCGCCAGGAGGCTCTGGGAGGGAGAGGGGGAGAAGCAAAGACACAGCTCACTGGGGGAGGGGGTGGAATGGAGCAGGAAGAGGCGGGGCGAAGGTGGGGCAGGGGCAGGAAGTGGCAGAGTGGGGGTGGGGACTTGGTGAAAGGGGTGGAGTGAAAGGTGGGGCCTGTGTCAGAGCCAGGTGTCCAGCAACCCCTGGCTGGAGCCTGTGTCTCCTTCAATAAAGTACACAGTGACTACTAGCTGGTGTGGAAATTTTTTATCAAAATTTTTCTTACACCATCTGACAATGGAAGGCAAGTTCAAATGGAAAAGAAAATACACAGATGAAAATGGAGGCTTGCAACAAGAGGTGGAGAATGAGTACTTTTTTGTTGAATGTAATGGTAAGGCCATGTGTCGTCTCTGCCAGATGTGTGTCTTTCAGTTCAAATCTTCAAACTTGCAGCGTCATTTCGCTTCTAGCCATGCACATGTGGATCAAGAATTCCCACAAGGTTGTGAACTCTGCACTTTAAAACTGGAAACTGGGAAAAAACAAACAGATGTAGAAGCCCAGTTCTTCACCAGATTTGCCAACCTATCGCAAACTGTAACGTTAGCCTCCTATTATGTTGCCTGGCACATAGCCCATGCAAAAAAGCCTTACTCTGAAGACAAGTTTATAAAAATGTGCCTCAATGATGTGATTTCAATCCTGTCACCCGAGAATGAGAATCTACAGAAGAAAATTTCTGGCCTGCAGCTTTCACGCTACACAATAGAACGCAGAATCTCCGACCTGAACAGTGACATTGCATTGCAACTGCACTTGCAACTTCAGCAGTGTGAGTATTTGAGCATCGCTTTGGATGAGTCGTGCAATATACAGAATAAACCTCAATTATCGGTATTTGTCTGGACTGTGTCTGACGACTGTGTTGTAATGGAAGAACTCCTTGATATCGTGCCATTAAAGGACAGAACTCGTGGACGAGATCTAAAGGAGGCATTGATGTTGCTAGTTGCGAAACACCACTTCTCTTTACAGAAGCTCACTGCTATTGCAACGGACGGGGCTCCATCCATGTGGGGAATCTGTGAGTGGATTAGTAGGGCTTTGTAAGTCTGATGAGAGCTTTCCCGAATTTTGGACATTTCACTGTATTATTCATCGGGAGCAACTGGCATCTAAAAATCTCAAATCTGATCACGTCATGAAACCAGTCTTGCAAATTGTGAATTTCATTCGCTCAAATGCACTCAATCACAAACAATTTCAGAATCTAATTGAAGAACTTGATGAAGACAACTTCCCTGCTGATTTGCCATTTCACTGCACAGTTCAGTGGCTCTCGAGGGGTAAAGTTATTTCCTGTTTGTTTGAGCTCCTGGAACCAGTAAAATTGTTTATGGAGGAGAAGCAAAGAATAGACCCTGAGCTTACAGATCCTGGGTGGGTTCTAGACTTGGAATTTCTTGCAGACATGCTGCTGCATTTGGATAAACTTAATGTGGACTTACAAGGAAAATTCCGGTTGCTGTCTGATCTAGTGCAAAGTGTATTTGTGTTCATGAACAAACTGCAGTTGTTTCACAGACAAATGCTTGAGGGAGAGCTGACATACTTTCCCTCAATGTCACAACTTCCAGACAGATAAAAAGAAGATGCAGCAGAACCCCTAAAACAGAGCACAACTAGATATGCAAGCATGATTAAAGATCTTAAGGACAGTTTTGAGGAAAGA